CAACAACTTGGATGGTCGGGGATTGAACACTGTTCTGCACGAAGTGAGACCGTCCCTCTACCGTCTAGCCCAAGTTTTTTTTTATGATTTTTCTACCACAGACGTGGCCAGACATTTACAATACTAACCAGAATATATACATTTTCTTCTGTCCTCCATGGACAGGGTGAGAGATCTGTTAAACATATAGTTCAGAGATTTATTGAACAATTAACCACATAAGGTGATTGTAGGGCTTTTAAAATGCTAATGTAACCTACATACAGAAATACATAAATTACAGATTTACGTCTGCCCTACATAAAGTGGTCGATGTGTCTTTTATATAGTGTCATTAATTTACATTTACAAAGGTGAAATGAAATTCTGACCAGCTTCTACATAAGCTGTATATATATATATATATATATATATATATATATATATATATATATATATATATATATAATGTCGTACCTAGTAGCCAGAACGCACTTCTCAGCCTACTATGCAAGGCCCTATTTGCCTAATAAGCAAAGTTTTCATGAATTAATATATTTTCTCAAATTTTTTTCTTATGAAATGTTAAAGTTACCCATTTCATTATGTATGAGGTAAAAAAAAATTTTATTGGAGTTAAAATTAACGTAGATATATGACCGAACCTAACCAACCCTACCTAACCTAACCTATCTTTATAGGTTAGGTTATGTTAGGTACCCGAAAAAGTTAGGTTAGGGTAGGTTAGGTAGTCGAAAAAACATTAACTCATGAAAACTTGGCTTATTAGGCAAATCGGGCCTTGCATAGTAGGCTGAGAAGTGCGTTCTGGCTACTAGGTACGACATACATATGTATTATAATATATAATATATATATAATATATTAATATATATATTATATATATATATATATATATATATATATATATATATATATATATATATATATATATATATATATATATATATATATATGTGTGTATATCACGAAAATAAACACGTGATTAGGAATGTGACAATGTCAGACCACGGAGGAAAAATGAAACAGGAAATTTCCTTAAGTACTTTCGTATATTAAATACATCTTCAGAAGGTCGAAGATGTATTTAATTTCTGAAAGAAGATGTATTTAATTTCTGAAATTTCTGACCTTCTGAAGATGTATTTAATATACGAAAGTACTTAAGGAAATTTCCTGTTTCATTTTTCCTCCGTGGTCTGACATTGTCATATATATATATATACACACACATTGTGGCTGGACAGCACTCTTGGCTCCCGTCTCGTCCCACACCCATATTATGGTGTGCCCGGGTGCCCAACCTTGCCTGGGTTGGGCACCCGGGGGACGGTAGTAGAGTTTGGCTTATAAGTCCATATACAGTAATTACAATGTTACATCTCTTGACTGTTATTAGTTATTTACCAAGGGCGGAGAGAGTTAAGCAACAGGAACAATAATTAATAGAAAGTTTTCCTAGTACATTTTTCCTCGTGGGTGAATGAACAGGAAAAAATTGATAAACATGCTCGATAAGGAAAACGCAAGAGTCCATGTCGAGATGAAAGTTGGGTTATGTAAGATTGGTGCTTCCGGCGGAGGTGTGGATAATGGCGCGACGCCTCCCTCCCTCTCCCTCCTGGCCTCCTGGTCTCCTAGCCCCCACCCCTAAAGAACTTAATAATTCCGTGTGGCAGGCCGGCGCCTCTCTCCATAAACACCATCTCTTAACACCTACTCAGCCACCTGCTGGTCTCCAAGGCCAAGCTGGTAAAGTTGTTTCAGTTTTGGTCACTGCCTCCAAACTATATTCCTCCAGATTGCTCCAAAACTAAGAAATGGAAATCGTTTTTTTTTTCCTCTTGCTCATATGTTTATTTTAAGGCACCAAATGTCTTGTATAATAAGAACATAGAGAAAGTGTCACTTGTGATGATAAGTGAGCGGTTCCTTGATAGAATAATTCATAGCGTGCAGACTCCTAGGTGCTGCTACTACTGGAGTTACTGGAGTGAACGATATGGAGGAAAATGCACAATAGAGCCAGTGAAGAGCAGGGGTGCCATAGGCACAATCAGAGAACACTATAAACATCAGAACACCAGTGAAGAGCAGGAGCGCCATAGGCACAATCAGAGAACACTGTATAAACATCAGAAGTCCACGGTTGTTCAACACCCTCCAAGCGAGTATAAGAAATATTACAGGAACAACCATGGACATCTTCAAGAGGAAACTAGTGTGTTTTCTTCAAGGAGTGCCGGACCAACCGGACTGTGGTGGGTATATGGGCCTGCGGGCCGCTCCCAGGAACAGCCTAGTGGACCAAGCTCTCCCAAGTCGAGCTTGGCCTGGGGCCTGGCTTGGGGAGTAGAACTACTCCCAGAACACAATCGACTTGAGAATGGTCCAAGACGGACCGAAACGTCGTCGTCCCATCACTTTCTAGTGTGGTTTGGTCGACATATTTCAGCCACGTTATTGTGACTCCTCGTCTGCAACTTCCAGAATCTCATCCAGCAGGTATCAAGCAGGTGTACTACACCTGACATATATTAAATGAATAGGGTGCAACAGAGCACAAATGCCTTTTCAAAGTCCGTGTATACCACATCTGCATTGTTTTTCTTCTAAAAGATCAGTGATTTTATCACAGTGGTCGAATAGGTGTGAAAGGCATGATCTTGCCTAAATGTACGTTAACCTGGTCATTGGTCTCTGTAAAACTGGAGATCTGACTCTGGTCACTCACACAAACCTCTACGCCATGGGACGGTAGTGCGACCGGTCTATAGTTCTTAGCAAATGTTTTCCTCCCTCCCATGTGTAGGGGAGCTGTATCAGCTAATTTAATGGCCCAGTAATGTGTACAGGGGCTGTCCCCCTGTACACATTATTGGAAACCAAATAATGTTTCCAGAGTAAAGCTTTGGACATATCCTGTGTGGTGCCTCACATGGTGGTTGGTGTGTGTGTGGTGGAGTCATGGTGAGGCTTATTACTTCATGTTGGTGTTAGTATGGTCGCCTTTCTCTTCTTTTTTAATCTTATTAAATTCCTAATGTTTGTGTGTGGTTCTCCGCCATTGGCGTCTCCGGCGTACGTCAAGGACGTTGAACCTCTCAAAATTCTCCAGCATTAAAGTGTTTAATCTTGCTAACATTAAAAGAAGATAACTCTTCCGGTCTCAGTTCTAATTATCAACACTTTCGTTTGAATACATAAATTAAGTCTACATCAAGCCTAGTTTTATAAATTGGGCGCTGTGGTTATCCCTCATAAACCACTTGTTTTAATAATTGTTTGGATAATTGTTAATTATTAATATTCTTGTAGCAACGAATGTAATGGGGTGGTGGAAGCCGGTTCTCCTTTGAATTGAGATTAAGCATTCCGCTGTAAGTACCAATAGTTCAGTGCGGGACTAATACTCAACCCCTACAACCGTGGAATTGATAGTCCGAATGATCGGGTATCTTCAAGAAGCATGTAGACACATTCTTGCAAGAATGTGGGCCTGTGGGCCGCTCCAGGCAACAACCTGTTGGCCCAAGTTATCACAAGTCCAGCCTGTCCTCGGGCCGGGCTCGAGGAGTAGAACAGCTCCCGAGACCCTCTCCTGGTGTGCTCCCAGGGGCGCCTCCACCTGCCCACAGCCCAGTCCATGAGAGAGTGAGAATGAAAGAGAGAGAAAATGAGAGAGAGAGAGAGAGAGAATGAGAATGAGATAATGAGAATTTGTTGATATTTTCACTGTTTACACTTAGAGATGATTTGCATTGCACATGTATTTATTTTAGTTGTCATTCGCGTAACCAGCCCATCCACCTCATTGAGTTTCCGATCATAATATACTCTCTGGAATGTAGATCTAATAAAGAGGGTAAAAGCCCGAGAGGTGACTTAGCGGTATATATGGGGTGGGATGGTGGCAAATGGAAGCTAGACTAGTGAAGGGCCCTCTACCACTAGGGGAGGCGTAATCGTGCAATAGTTGCTGAGGTTGTGAGCGCGTGTCGTAGCGCGCCCGCTGACGTGGTCCAACATGGCCGCCTCCTCCCCAACTCTCGTTTCTCTCTCAACTTACCCACTGATTTTCAAATTGGGAGTGGCTATCAAATTATTTCTGGTCTTAAGATTCAGATAATCTAATGAACCTTTAAAATGTTGACCGATTTCCTCTACTTTGATTAATAATGAGAACCAAAGGATACGTTTAATGGCGCCATTGTCTCAACAAAGTGAGACAGCTCTGGCAGAGTTCTGGCGCCAGACTTAGTAGGAAGAATGTCGTTATTGAGCATTTTAGTTAAGGCTGTTATTTATAATATAAAATTCATTGTGGTCAGGGGACAGGCAGCCTGGTTATACATACAGTACATGTTAGACTTGTACAGAGAAGGGTCGAATTACTGACTGCCCAGGATACAAACCCCACAAAAAGCCAACTCTTGAGCATCCAACTGATGCTCCTGTTTACCTTGCAGTTGCTACCTGGGGATGTTATCCCCAGGAAGACCCTTCACCTCGCTCCTCATAACTTGACCTATTCCACCAGTGTATTTAACCCAAACATGGCATCTCGTGTATATCACGGCTCACCATAGCCCGTGCTACTTGGAACTTGTTCCAAGTAGCTGAATCTATAACGTCATCATCATCTCGTGTATTCATTGATTACCTGAAGATGTTCCAGGGTGGGGCGAAACGTTGTAACAAAATAAATCCTTCAATAATTATTACTGTCTTAACCATGAATTTTGGTAACTTGATTGCTGTTCCTAATCCCGAAACTAAGAAAATACTTAGAAGCATAGAAAGCTTACACGATGAGGTCATATTTAACCCAATATTTATTTCTGTATACGCAAACAAAATGTAGATATAGGCCTAAAATAGATGGTTTAAATATACTTCCTATAAAATCAATTCTTTAACTGATGCTTTATACTAATGCACTGAAATAATGTGCATTACAAATATAATTAGAAATTAACTTTTGCTGCTTGTTTTGACAGGGCCATTCTGCTGGGCTCACGAGGAGTTGACTTGCCACACATAAGCAGTCGACTTGAGACCCTAACCACAGCCCGCACCCTCCAGCCCCTGGAAGCCGTCGCTGACACAGATATTGCTGCTTTCCTTAGAAATGAGCGTGAGAACGCCATCATCACGGCTATTGAGGACTCCAAGCGGCGGGTAGGTGGTGGTGACAGTGTTTCACATCCGCTGCGCCGTGGTGGTGACCCCTTAATTAACAATGCCAATGCACTCACTCCTCAAGGTACAGCGCATTAAGAATGTCAATTTCTACATAACCTTACCCCAGGCACCTGCTACCAAGCGTAGCCACAAACCCAAACTTTGTATTATATACACAATGTATGAATCAGTTTGTTCTAAATTTGTTACTGTATTTGATTAGTTGGGGGTCGAGTAAGCTACAAGAATCTAAATACTAGAATTTAGATTTTGAAAATTAACACTATAAATTGTTTTAATATTAGAATGACCACACACAGTGAGGTGGGAGATGTGTTCTGTACAGTGACAACAGTGAGGTGGGAGATGTGCTCTGTACAGGGACAAGTGAGGTGGGAGATGTGTTCTGTACAGTGACAACACAGTGAGATGTGCTCTGTACAGTGACAACACAGTGAGATGTGCTCTGTACAGTGACAACACTGTGCTCTGTATAGTGACAACACTCTATTGTCAATTATCTTTATTCTATTATGGTAATATATATTTTGTTTGCATAATATATAAAGAATACTGTAACTTGCAACTGTTCCATTTTAAAATGAGTTAATCAGGACCTAGGAATTAACAAAACACTTTCTGTATATTAGCCAAGTTTTTACAAATAAAACTTAGTGTCACATAAGGGCCATAAATTCCTATGGTAACAAAATGGGGCAAATTTTAAAAATTCTTGGTGGGCCAAGTACAGTACAGTATAAGGGTCTCGCTGACATTATTGTGTTCCAGCACATCTCGCCAAGTTTTGTGATGTCAGTTGTAATTTCAGACAAGTGAAGAAGTTGACAAGTTATACTGGAAGCAGCAACAAGCTGAGTGGGAGCAGAAAAAACAGGACCTGCTCTCAGCTTTCACTCACTCGGGAACGGACCTCCTCAACATTACGGTTCAGCAACAGGTACAGTATTTTTGTTGCAGATTCTTGATTTTAATACATTACTCATCAGTGTTTGTGTTCAAGTTTTTTTTCTCTCCTAAGAGATTTTACTTGCAAGTTATAAATAGGGCTGTTGAAGTTTATATTTTCAAATCGTTATGTTTGTTACTTTGTAGATGAAAATTGTGAGCGGATCAATGATTTTCTTTTCTTCTTGATTATATAGTACTAGGTTATCCACAAAGGGAATTTGGATTAGGGTGTCAGTTTTTTTTTTATAAATGGCATTTTAATTAGTATGCACTCTAATCATTGCTAATTATCTTCCTCTTTTGTGCCCTGCTGCAGCCTTTTCATTTAATATATGCATGGTTGATGCACTTGCTTGATACCTGCTGGATGGGGTTCTGGGAGTTTTCTACTCCCCAAGCCCAGCCCGAGGCCAGGCTCGACTTATAAGAGCTTGGTTCCCCAGGCTGTTGCTTGGAGCAGTTCACAGGCCCACATATCCACCACAGCCCAGTTGGTTTGGCACTTCTTGAAGAAAACTTGTTTTCTTGTCTTGTTTTCTCTTGAACATGTCCACTTCATAAGATCATTCATAAGGTACTGAATGATGATGTATCATAATTTGTTCAGTGTTGATTACTGCAAACAAAGCCACAGTGAAAATTATACAGTTATTAATTTCTTGTGTTACTTGTGGGACATATATACCTATCAGTCCATGGGGGAGATGATGAGCAAATTCATGATTGAGTAGTTTTGTGGTCAAACAATGACCTTCAATATAAAGTGAGACCCATGACCGCGTCATAAGGTATACAGTACAGGACGATATATGGATAGACATTGTGCAAAAGTGTGGTACACTTTGTACATTTTTTGTTTTAGAATTATTATTACAGCTGTATTATTATACATATTAAATTAATTAATTTAAATCCATTAGCATCATGGGGTGGGGAAGCACAGGTTTGGAGAAAAGATAGGAACACTACTGTATTGTGATAGAACCTTATTGATATTAAAAACTGCATTTAATTTGTTTAGATTTTTTACACTAAATCTGCAATAAACAAGCACCACCACTCAACAGTAGTACCCCATCGCTTCATGAGATCTGTTGTACTGTACAATGATGCTCATGAGTTGTAATATACAGTGCAAAAAGATACATTAACTCCTCACTAACCAATTTCATCCAGCCTTGTCCTTTGCCAATTTCATTGCATTGTTCACACACTTTCCCTGCTTCCTCATACATTTACTCAATGTACACCCATATTCCCAGCTTTCTGCTACCACTCCAACCATCAAATTTGTCTATTTACTCGTCACCTTCCACCACCAACGCCACCCTCCCACTATCATCTAACCATGCCAACATGGCAACCCCATCCACACTCAACAAGCACTATACTACCACAATTTTAGCCACAGCCCTCAGCCATGCACATACACACCTGCCTTCCCCACCCACATACTCGCCCCATCCAACCCACACCTTCATACAACACCACCCTCACATTTACCTCCCTCCCACTCTGTAACTGTTTTAATTGCACAGATTCACATTACAGTGTTGCTTAAATGATGGCTTTGTGCATTATGAATTTGCAGTGCTCTTATTCTTAGGTTGATAGATTATTTGATATTCAAGACACTGTCATTTGCCGATATAATATTTATTATGGGAAGATGCAACTCGCCAATAATACTGTAGCATATAAGTTTTGTCATTCATATTGCAACACTGCAGGTATGTCAGAACTAAAATTTAATGGTGTTAATTTTCAGGATAGCATTGTTTGTGTACCACGAAATGTGGGAGGAACAAGCAGTAGTCTCAGCAGTGAAGAAATGGCTTACGTCAGGGTCATCCGTGAATACAATGAAGAGGTGCTTCAAGGGGGAATACGACCCAACTTGGCAGATTCACTTACCAATGCTGCTTCAACCATGAGTGATCAGGCTAGTATGGCTTCATACATATTTTTGTTTTGAACCTGTGCACTTAAATCTTATGCAATACTGTATGATGGTGAGGAACTCTCCACCCATCCCTTTCTCCAACCCCCTCTCCTATCTTGCCTACCTTGTGATGATTCCAGGAATCAATGTCCCTGAAGCCTGGTCTCTGACCAGGCCTCCTGGTTAGTGCTTTGGTCAACCAGGCTGTTGTGTAATGTTGCAAGCAGCTGTATCCATGAATCGCAGTCTGGTTGATCAGGTATTTTTGGATGTGCTTATTGAGTTATCTAAAACTCAGTGGAAGGCTGGTCAGGTACGCCCCTTATGTGTAGAGGGAGAGTGTTCAAATGTCTTGGGCCTTTGATGTTGATAGTTTTCTTTCATCATACCTATTGCTTGTTGCTGGGAACAAAAGGTTCCAAATAGCACTGGCTATGGTGAGTCCGTAGTGGATATCACGCCAAACCTTTCTTCTGAAGCCCACATCAAAATATCTGTGGCGTATGCAAGGCTGGCTAACATCAGAACTGCCTTCAAAAACCTGTGTAAGGAATCCTTTAGAATCTTGTATACCACATATATAAGACCAAAACTGGAGTATGCAGCCCCAGCATGGAGCCCGTACCTTGTCAAGCACAAAATGGAGCTGGGAAAAAGTTCAGAGGTATTCCACTAGACTAGTCCCAGAACTAAAAGGCATGGGTTACGAGGAAAAGCTGTTTGAACTGCATCTCATGTCGCTGGAAGACAGGAGAGCTCGGGGAGATATTATCACATACAAAATTCTCAGGGTAATTAACAGAGTAGACAAGCATGGATTATTTAACACAGGAGGCACATGCATAAGGGGGACACAGGAAAAAGCCGAGTACCCAAATGAGTCGCAGAGACATTAGAAAGAACGTTTTCAGTGTCAGAGTAGTTAGTAAATGGAATACACTAGGAAGTGATGTGGTGAAGGCCGACTCCATACACAGTTTCAAATGTAGATATGATAGAACTCGAGAAGCTCAGAAATCTGTACACCAGTAGATTGACTGAGAGGCGGGATCAAAGAGCCCAAGCTCGACCCTCACAAGCAAAACTTTGATTTTGTTTAGTACAACTAGGTGAGTACACTCACCCCCTCCATTTATCACTGCATAGAATTTTCTAGGAATTACAATGGAAGTGAATGCTTCTTAAAGGGGAGGCAGTTGGGCTGTCTAGGAGAGTTCTCCACCATCTATGTATTATCCTGAAAAGTTTAGTGAGGCTAGCTTTATGCTTCTGACCTTCAACTTTTGGACAGACACAGATAAACTAAACGCATTCTTTTTTTTGTAGATATAGATTTATAACCTATTAATATATTGTTTTTTCCTAGATGATGATGCTTTCCCTCCTCTTGAAAGATGGAAATATTTTATTAATAATGTATTTATGTATTGTAGAGAGCTGCAGTGTTTTTGATTGGTGAATGTGTCAACAGGGTATATCAGATTTATGGGCTCTGGTACAGTGCCTAAGTGAGGTACCCGTGAGTGTAGGCGGTGATGCAGCACAAGCTCGGGCTTCTCCCAGGGTACAAGCTGCACTCGTAAAGCAGGCTCGTGGCCATTTGGAGAAGTCGTAAGTATTAATCATTCTCGTCAAGTTGGCAATTACAATTTGCATTTAAAATAGGGGCCTGTCATACAGTATTCCAATTTATTAATGTAATTCAAGAACACCTCACAGGGTTTTCCCCCCAAACTTAAAATAAATTATGTAGCATCATAACGAAATTTGGATTTCAGTTTGTTTTAGCACATTAATTTTGGTTCAATGTTTAGTGTGTAAATTTTATGTTGATATTTGTAAAATAATAATAAGTAAACTTGTACTGTATTAGAATTTATGATATCCTTTATTGTATTAGTTGTGCAAGTCTGAAAACCTTTCATGACATGAAGTGCTTTGCCATTACAAGATTTCCATTTAACATCTAAATTCTTCATGGTATATTGTGTCCAGTAGTTCCTTAACTGAATCTTTTAATTTAATATACAGTACTGTACTGTATAGTGGGCTATTTTGATGTTCATCTTTGCAGCTTTAATGTAGTTTATGGAGCTAACTAATTTTATATAATTTTTATGTTTTTTTTTTTTCTGAGAGTCCCTTCAGTAGCTCCCCTAAATAAATCGGTGAATAACTAAGCCACACCAGTCCTTCGAGACCCATCTGTTGCCTACCAAGACCCGCAGCCAGAATTTGGTTTGTTCTAAAAGGCAAAGGAAAGCTTGGGGATTGGAAAGCTTTGTAGAAAGCATAGGAGAGATGAAACAAGTGACTGCTTGAAGGAAAAGGCCTTCTCCCAGTAAACAAGGCAAACATTCATAGCTGCAGGGGCAATGCCATACTTATGTTGCAAGTGACTGCAACTAAGTGGCAGTCACATGCCACATATCAGGCATTCTGAGAGTTGTTCTACTCCAAGCCCTGGGCCAGGCTTAACATAAGAGTGCTTGATGCAACAGGCTGTTGCTTGGAGTGTCCCACATATCTACCCCAGCCTGGTTGGTCTGGCACTTGTTGCAGAAAAGTGTCCAGTGTTTTCCTGAAAACTTCCACTTTTGTTCTGGCAATACTTCTTATACTTGCTAGGATATTGAACAAATGTGTACTTCTGATGTTCATACAGTGTTCTGTGATTGTGCCTGTGACACCTCTACTCTTCACTTCCTAGGCATGCCACAAGAGACTCGAACTGTCTACTACGATGTCATCAATGATGCATTCCAAAAAAGGCTGATAAGAACAATTCTGGCTTGCATTGTAGAGTGAAGCAAATTCAGGTCCTTATCTCAGTAGTGATGGGTTTGGAGGGCTAGTGAAAGGGTTTGTTGTAGTGGTAGGGGTAGTGTAAGTACCTAGTTGTACAAACTATGGTTAGCTACATGGGACCCACCAGTGAAGAGCGTTTCATTACATTCAATGCTTGATTTTTGGCAAGAAAATGTGAATGTTTGTGCAACTAATCTACACTGAAAGCATGATAATTATTAGAGATTTGTAATAACTACATTTTAACATTTTTAGTATGTAGTTTTGTGTACAAAAACTGCATACTTAACTACATACATTAAATTTCATGGTAATGAACATTTTTCCCCCTTTTCATTGGTAGTTATGCTACCCACATGAGGCGCATGGTTTACTCCCACCTGGAGCGTGCACAGCTGGGAGGAGTTCCTGGCCTGGTTCCTCTAGTTCGGGCATTCTTAGAGGTAGTCTTGCCTCCTCAGGTTGCCACTACTTTGGAGGATGGCCAGGCTAACAATGCACCAGTTTGGCCTCTCATCTTCTACTGCATGAGAGCTGGAGGAAGCAAAGCTGCTTGCCTTGCTGCTGCAGAAAACAGGTATTTTGATTGAACTAATTTAAGTGTTTACAATTACTCTGTATTTGCCTGTACTCGCCTAATTGTGCGCTTGCGGGGGTTGAGCTTTGTCTCTTTGGTCGGCTGTATGTTGTCTTAACCAGTTTCATGGCGAGAAAAGCCTTCAGTTAATTTATCAGTCTTCATTAGTGCATGTGATGCCCGATTTTTTGCGTTGGGAGACTGAGGTGTAGTGACATTATTAACATTGCAGTTGATAACTCATTGCGGTTGATAATTTAAAGTTGAGTTAAATTTGATAAACATTCAGAAGGTTTTGGATTAGCTAAGTTATATTGGACTCAATATATTCACTTGTCAAGTGATTGCAGGCAGGCTGTGTGATGGAATGATGGAGAGAGGGAAGAAAAATTGAAAAGGTGGGGATAGGATTGAAATGGAGGGATAGGGATTGTAAAGGTGGAAATAGGGATTGGAAATGGGATCAGGATTGGAAAGAGGGGGTCAGGATTGGAAAGAGGGGGGTCAGGATTGGAAAGGGGGGATGTGGATTGAAAAGGAGGGTTAGGGATGGATGGATAGGGAGGGAGGGATGAGTGGAGGCTCAGAAGAAATGACAGAAAGGGAGGGAGGGTGCATGTGTATGGCAAGCTTTTTCCTCGTTGTGGATAGAAGTGGCATAGTTGATTGTTATTGTGTTTTTGTTGTATATTTGTTTGATTGCCTCTTGTTTGTGTTTGTTTATTAATGACCTATTTAAGAGTCATTAAGATGCAAAACTTTAAATTGTTTCTAGCATCATATATTTGTTCATTAGTGATACTTTACATTTCTATTGTAAATTAAAGTATTGTGGTGTGCCCGAAATATTTTTCTTGCTTTCCATAACGAACCAAAGCAATAAGTGAACCAGTCATAATTTTAAGGGTTACAGTGGAAATAACAAAAGATAAAATGTGTTGTAGAAAGTGAGATAAAATGCAAATTCTACAGATATATCATTCATTTTATGCTACTTTATTTGTTGCTTTTTCTCTTCGGCAGCATTTTTCATAAAGTAAAAAAAAAAAATTATTATTTCCATGTACTTGGTGAGATTCGCTGCATGACTGATAGGAAGATAGAGAGAACTGTGGGCTTGTGATAGCTAGTGAAATTGAACATGATTTAAAAATAACATTATAGTAACATTCATTTCAGTGCATCTAAATAATTATGCTATTCCAAGTGATTCTTTATTAAGATATTTTAATTTCAAGTTTATGTAAGTACATTTGTGTATTGTACTAAGGTATTTACTCAATCACATTTTTATACATGTACTAATTGATATTATAAATTACAGTTCTCCGTCAGTTGTAGAAATTGTGACAGCCCTGGAACAGTACGAGAAGAATGACTCAGGTCGCTTGCCACCAGATCTGGAGAAAAAGCTGAGGATGTCATACAAGAGAGCTGTTAAGAATTCCTCCGACCCATTTAAAGTACTATAATATAATTATTTGTTCTAATGTGTTTCATGAAGAATAAAAAAATGCTATTTTTTTAATATACTGTATATAAATACTGTATTATGAACATTAAGTTTATTTTGAGCTTACAATGCACTCTGTAAGCTTGCTTGTCGCCAGGTTAGTCTTGTAAAAACTTGATCGGAAAAGCTGTTGCTTGGAGCAGCCCATAGGTCCATATACCCATTACAACCTAACTGGTTCATCACTTCCTGCAATTCTTGCAAGAATGTGTCTAATAGCCTCTTGAAACTCTTTACTTGTATTAGTTGATTTAGGGAGGGGGAAGGGGGGTTAAATAAAAACTGTAAAGTGAATACAGTATATTTTGAGTCGATGCTTCAAATAGCCACTGACAAATGTACAAAATGATAACTATCACTAACTAGTATAATCCCTATTGTTTACATCACATCATGAAACTGATGGTCCTTTGTTTTGATGATGGACTGTGGGGTATTAAAGTACAGGTATTGTAACAATAAATTAGGGAAATCCATGCTATGATGAAGTATATACGTTTTCCCCTTCTAGACACTAACTAGACACTAATCTATTTTTTAATCAGTTTTAATTTGCATTGCTTTAAATTTTATGCTAATATTGATAAATTGTGTATTCAGTCAGTTTGTCATATTATGTGAATTACTTATAATCACTCCACACTTTATAATGAACCTTTCGGTATATCATAGTTTGTTATTTTTGCATTAATTTCTTATCTTTTCTTAATTCTTTCCATATTTTTAGCAGTGCATCTATTTCAATTTCATCTTTGTTTATTAGATCTCCTGCCATTACTTATGACACAGAAGAAAGTTAAATTAGCTAAGATAGTTGAAGTCTATAATTTCAGAGTTAAGGGGTGTACTTTGTATATTTCATATTGTTTTTCTTTATTTATAGCGAGCTGTTTACTGTGTATTGAGTCGCTGTGACCCACATGAGGACCATAATGACATTGCTGCTACTACCGATGACTACCTGTGGCTTAAACTGTGTGTGGTAAGTAACAGTGCATATTGCTTACATATCTTGAAATGCATGGCTAATAAAGGTACAAGTAGAGTATTAGTAGGTCGGCAGGTTAGAAATCAGAGCAGCAGGAAACAGTGAGGGAAAATGAATTGGCTGGGGCATCTGGCAGCTATTGACCAGTTGCCATATTACACAATAATTTGCAGTAATCACATGTAAATTAACCACTGCACTGCTCAGAGCACCTTGAGGCACTAGATTGAGGGTTTGCAGAGCACCTCATGGCGATCGTAGGTATAGCGTAGGATTCAAAACACCCACGGGTATACGGGGATCAAATCCTGTGTCTCAGGGCTCCTGCAAACAGACACCATCTTGAAAAAAAAATTGTGGGCAACATTCCCGGGTGTGAGAGCCTTAGTACTGAGTGAGCAACCAAGGCTGGTGCACACAGCATGAGCTAACAGCACTGCTGTTCAGCTTGTGACCACAGCATTGCCTAAAAATGTCAAAATATATATGTAACTGGTATTATTTAGCAATGATAGTATTACAAAAGACCCCGTGATAAAAATGACAAGGATTATGATAATAGCATGATTGTGGTGATATTAGCACTGTGCATAGTATGGTGGGAGGAGTAATCTTGGTGAGAGAGGGTGGTAGCATCGTCTGCTGTCTGTGTGTGGCAACCTGTTATTGTCTGGACTCACCATACCAGCATAGTGGTTCGCTATGGTGAACACAAATCTAGTTACTTATATATAACGTATGTATATAGTGTAATAACAGCAAAAGCACTGTTTGATTGATCGTAGAATATATTATACATGTCACACACATGAGCCCCATAAAAAAAATTATGGCTATATGAGCATAGCCATGTTCCACACATTGAACTACTTTATATAAATTCCACAAATTACTCTTTTGAATAATATTACAGCAAAAAATCTGAGAAAAAACGAATGAGAAACAAAAATTAATTGTAAAAACTTCGCAGCAACTGCCACTTTACGGGATGGTGGGGTCAAGTGTGCCCAAGCGCCTCATCACCCGGCGCCCATAATTTGCTCAACTTCTCGGCTCCATCACGCCTAAAGTATGTCACATACAATATTTTTTTTATAGTTTTCCCATGATCAGAGACTGCATTTTAACAATATAAGAAGAGAAAAAAAAAATTGCAAAGAATTAATTTTTGGCGCACAATGGGAATGTCATATTTTAAGGCCACGCAGCACTGTGGTTAACATGTGATAAAGTTGTTAACAGGCTTTATATCTGGTGAAATAATAAGAAATGGTGGGATGGCTGTATAAAGCAGGGTGGGGGAGTTGGATGCTTGTATACACCTTGCACAGTCTGACCCCCATTGACTGTGGTTGGGTGAATGATGTCCATGCTGGACTGCATGATAGTGTGCAGCAGCACTTTGCCTAAGAGACCACTTGAGTGGCTTTTCATATAGTACTGTACAATCAAAGCCTTTTGTTTTGTTTTAAACTTACTGAAATTCAATTGCAGCCATTTTTAATGACAATGGTAGGAAAAATATATTTTTTATGCCGACAATTCGGTGACAAGCAAATAAACATTTAATGTAAGGTAAGAATTTGTAAAATATTTTGTTTAAAATGTGTGTTAATTGCATTGCACCAAAATACTGTGTAAATTCTTAAGTCACATTTTAAGCTACTCACATTAAATTCTGTTCTGCCCAAGCAGTTCTCTTTAAATATATATAAATATATATATATATATATATATATATATATATATATATATATATATATATATATATATATATATATATATATATATATATATATATATATATATTTATTATATATATATTTTTTTTTTAGATTTTATTTGCGTTGTTATATATATATATATATATATATATATATATATATATATAATATAATAATATAATATATATAATATATAATATATATAATAATAATAATAATAATAATAATATATAATATATATATATATAATATATAATATATATATATATATATATATATATATATATATATATATATATATATATATATATATATATATATATATATATATATATATATATATATATATATATATATATATATATATATATATATATATATATATATATATATATATATATATATATATATATATATATATATATATATATATATATATATATATATATATATATATATATATATATATATATATATATATATATATATATATATATATATATATATATATATATATATATATATATATATATATATATATATATATATATATATATATATATATATATATATATATATATATATATATATATATATATATATATATATATATATATATATATATATATATATATATATATATATATATATATATATATATATATATATATATATATATATATATATATATATATATATATATATATATATATATATATATATATATATATATATATATATATATATATATATATATATATATATATATATATATATATATATATATATACACATACATATACGTACATACATACATACATACATACACACACACACACACACACACACACACACACACACACACACACACACACACCACACACACACACACACACACACACACACCACCTCTAGCTGGAAGAAGGGGGACCCATAGCCTCGGAGGAAACCACGCATAACGCATTAGAGGGAATGTTTAGATCCCCTCCAATACAGTTTCTGTGTGCTTTTCTCCTACCACCCCCTTCCTTGAATATTTTTTGTGCTTTATTATGCATTTGATGGTTACAAGATATACATGGGTTGATACAAAAATAATAATGCAAAAAGGTGCTTAAAGGTTACGGATCTCTTGAAGAACACAACAATGGGAAACATTGATGAATGTCACAGACGGGTTCGATCATTGTTGCAAGTCAAACACTTCTTCGAATTCCTCTGAAGTTGGACTAGTGCCCAAGACGCAACAGGCATTTCCCCTCTGAATCGCAACACTGAGGCGCTGGAACAAGAAACTTTTTGCTCTCTGGTCTTTTGTAGCGCTGATCAATTTGTCCCCCAACTCCTTCAGGAACTTCAATGCACATTTTCCCCACGAACCGAGGGTCTCCGAGCTGATCTGAACAAAGCTGTAGCAGTGTGCTAGACCTCTGTATTTAATAATTTTCTGCGATTCCCTGAAAGAAGCAGCACCACCGCTTTCACGTGTGCTGTAGTGGAGGTAGGTACTGGCCAGTGTGGCAGCGCACGTGTAGTCCCATACCACTTGCTTACCATCCTTCCAAGGTAGCAAGGTGACCCCATCAGGGCGCTTCTGAGGGTCGTTAGGTCTGGATAAGTGTGGTTCTCTTTGTGCCGGGCAGCGGGCTGTGGCGAGGCTCCTCTTGATGATGTCGTTGACTTCTTCATGTCTTGCAATTTTACCCTGTGATTTACGACATACCAGACCATGACGACCATATTGGTCTGCCATCGCAGTTCCGCAGATGCACCTATGTTCGGTGAGGATGGGGGCGGCAAGGCGAAGGGCAACTCCAATGCGGAGAGCGTCATGACTGAGGCGAGTTCCCAGGGCTGCATTGGGCACAGCAAATAAAAAATCCCCGGCGTGGGGTGCTGTTACCGCTAGGAGGCGGGCTTTGTTTTCAGCATCAGCGTTGTCAATCTTTGCTGTGACAGTCTTTTCCATTATGGGGCTATCCCAGTGGGCCTGCTTGTGGTCTTTTGGGACTTGTGGTCGGGGTTGAGGGTGTGCAATGGTGTCCCATTGTCTGGCTGCTTCGATGAACGTTTGATCATGAGTTCCCGCTGTCTCTCTCATACGCTCTGGTAGGATCTGCCCTACCAATTCGTTGGCTGCTGTACATGAGGATAAGAATGCTGGAAGTGCTACCTCAGTTGCCTTTCGTATGCCTATCCCTCCAAATCTCACTGGTAGTGTTGCTTGGTCCCACTGACTGTCATCTAAATCTAGGTTGAGCGCCTTCCTGAATATTGACCTGAGGAGCTCATCATATTGATTTAGAAGTGGGTTGCCAAAAGTTGGTGCACACCTTAAGAAGTATGTTAGCCTGGGCAGGGTAAGGCACTTTGTGAGAAGGTAGAGGGCATCGTGGGAGTCCAAGTCCCCAATTCTCTCTTCCATCCTCTTTAGGTCTCTAAACTTTTCGTCAAGGACTGCAGCAATGGCATTGTGGCCCAGAGGTGCTCCGAGTAGTGTGCTGTCGGTAGGTTTAACGACTGAGGCTTCTGGTAGAACTGATTTCACTGCTCTAATGATTACTTCACTAGATGCAATAATTTCGCACTTGGAGGGGCTAAGAACGAGACCCATGGACTCCCCCTGTGTCTTCACCAGCTGTAAGTCTTCTAGCAGGGAATCTTGTGTGCCTGCCAGAGTGCCATCATCCAGGAACCAGATGTTGAGCTCGCTGGACAGTCTGGTTGTAATTTCTCGAACCGCTATGCAAAAGAGGAACGGTGCAAGTGGGTCACCCTGTTGAATTCCCTCTGCTGAGGTGACTTCATGTTTGCCAAACAGGAGGGTTGAGTCTTTGCTGTAGCCTGCTGACACAAACGGGAGAATGCTTGGGCAATGTTCCTGGACTGCAGTGAGGATTGCTTCCCTTTTGACCGAGTTGAAAGCGTTTTTAAAATCTAATTTTACTACTGCCTGGTCTTCAGTAAGAGAGCTAATGTAGGCTCGTGCAGCATGAGCCGCTGCTTCACAGCCTTGGGGGACTCCAAACCCCAGCTGGTTGGGTTGCAGCATGGTGGCTGCTTCCGTTCGGATACTTCTGACAGCAGCCCTTGCAACTAGGCGGCGAAGGGTATTACCAACGGCAATGGGTCTGATTCCTCCCCCCTTCTTTTTGAGGGCACATAGGGATGCACCAAAGAAGAATGGTTTGATTTCATCAGGGATTAACCCGGCGAGGCAGTTGTTGACAAACGTTGTGATTTCTGTCAGGAGCGCTTCTGCAGCTGGGC